TGCCCAGAAATGATGCCCCAGGAGCTCTCCGAGCGTTTTCCCTCTTTCAGATGATGCATCAAGATATTTGTTAATAACAGCGACGAACCACTTGTTCTCAAATTCCATTACATATTACGGACTTGATGGTCCAAGTGAAACGAATTCATGAATAGTCATAGTTGGTACGCTTTTATGGGGAGGAATAAGTTGGACACAACAAAACTGGCTCACCTTATTCAAAGCTATGCACAAACTAGGGAGTTAAACAAAGGGAAATAGTTGCATGCTCAGCTTAGTGCTCATCCACCATACACGTTCCTTACAAATCACTTAGCAACATGTACTTGAGAAGTGGAGAACTTGGTTACACCATGAAACTGTTCGATAAAATGCCACAAAGAAATGTGAATGGTTTCTTGGACGGCCAAAAATCAAAGGTTTGGAGAGGCTCTTAATACTTTTTGTCTAATGATGAGAAATTCTGAAGAAGCGCCGACACAGTTTGCTTTTTTGAGTGTCCTTCAGGCTTATATCTCTCATGAGTCGATTAAGCTTCGGACAGAATTGCATAGTCTCGCTAGGAAATGTAGTTTTAGTGACAAACTATTTGTGGGGAGTAATTTGGCAGACGTGCACTTCAATGCACGAGGCTTGTGAGGTTTTTCATGAGATGCCTTGCAAGGATTAGGTGCTGTGGACTTCTTTGATTGATGGGTATGTGAAAAATGGAATTGCGAGGAAGCTTTAATAGCTTATGAGAAAATGGTCATCAATGATATTGTGATTGATCATGTGCTTTGTAGCACTTTGAGTGATTGCAGTGCACTAAAGTTTTTTGATCTTGGGAAGTCCCTCCACTCAACGATTGTGAAGTTGGGATTTGAATTGGATACTATTCTAGTAAATGGTCTCATAGATATGAAATCAAAGTCTCGAGACATGGAAAGTGCTTTGAATATCTTCCAAACTGATTCACATTATTGGAATATAGTGTCATGTACTGCTCTAATTGATGGATACGTTGAGATGGACCAAATCGAAGATGCTTTAAGTACTTTTGTTGACTTGCGGAGGCAGGGAATTGAACCTAATGAATTTATTTTCTCTAACTTAGTGAAGGCCTATGCTAACTAAGCAGCACTAGAACAAGGAATCCAGCTTCATGGGCAAGTTGTCAAATTTAACTTTGATAGAGACCTTTATATGTTGCTTTAACTCTTGTTGACATGTATGGAAAATGTGGGTTGTTTGATCACTCAGCTCAAGCACAGATCGAGAACCTAAGTAATATAGCATAGAATTCATTGTTGGGAGCTTTTGCACAACATGGTTTGGGAAGAAATGCCATTGAAACTTTTAACCGAATGATCGACAAAGGGGTTAAACCAAATGCAATAACATTTGAGAGTCTTTTAACAGGATGTAGTTATACAATAATGGTAGAAGAATGATTGAACATCTTTTGTTCCATGGACAAGATTTATGGGGTGATGCCTAGAGAAGAACATTATAATCGTGTTATTGATCTACTTAGTCGAGTTGGAAAGCTTAAAGAAGCTGAAGATTTTACAAATAACATGTTGTTGGGCCAAATGCTTTTGGATGGTGTTCTTTTCTTGGGGCTTGCATGGTGATAAGGAAAGGGGCAAACTTGGAGCAGAAAAAGTGATGAAGCTTGAACCCAAAAATAGTGGAACTCAGGTTGCTGCCAAATATTTATGCTAAGGAAGGACAGTAGTGGAACTCATTTCTCGAATGGTTCGTGCTCCTTTGGGGACTACTGGTTATGCCTGAAGGCTTGATGGATGGCTTGTGAGGGATGTGATGCTAACAATTAGGAATACACTTCCTTTGATTGTTTACTTTGCTATTGGAAAGAGGAGAAAATGTCCGTGCTGGTTATGTCTTGTAAAATCTACTCCTGGCAAGAAGTATTGAAGTATCTTTCTCCCATGGCATTCGAAGGCATTTGGTTGGTTGCCATATTCCATGAATGGAGCAATAGAAACACTTGATGAGCAATAATGACCACTCGTTATTCGTTGATCATCACGAAAACACAACAAACAAGTGAGTATAATTCATTTAAAACTTTAGATGGTACTGTTTTAGCTATTTCATTTCATATAGATTTCAAGTTAGAGATACATGAGACCATAGTCAACTGGATTAGGTTGGAGAAATCAAGAGGCCATTGGTGAAGGAAAAATGAAATGAAAATGAAACTGGCCATGTTGTAAGGTAAATAATGATATCTCAAAGCCATCGATAAACACCATAAGTAGAAAATAGCAATCACCACACATCAAAACTAGAAAATAGCATAATTGAAGCAAAAATTAAAAACAAGTCAAAAAAAAAATCACACAAATTCAAGATAAAACCATGCACATATTGAACAAAAATCAGTAGGTAACTTTATCATGCACAAATCGAACAACGTACCATTGTATTCTTTGCTAGCAGCAGCACCTCATTCTTGTTAGCTTCCAACACAACCAAGAATTCCAGGTTCTTTAACAGATCATCGACATTGATCTCTTGAAACCGATTCTCTACGATGTCTGCACTGGCCTCGTGGTCTCATAGCTTGCCAGTGTTAATTGGTTATGTGATGATTAGTTTCAAGCAAACAAGGATAGAGGTGTATCAAGCAGCTAATTCCAAAGAAATCATTAGCGATGGAATCTGATTTTGGCATTTCCCATGGAATTAGATTGTTTGAGAATCTTGATTTAGGCTACCAAACATGCTCAAATGTAGAGTCCATTTCCAGGATTAGATTTCTTATATATTAAATGAGGCCTTGGAGATTTATACAATGCTCTCAAATGGATGAATTACAAATTTTTGCAAATCTAACTAAAATACTCTCACACGTCATATCTATATAATTTAAAATATAAAGTATGCATTTCACAATATAAAAATATTTAAATTTTTAAAGCCAGGTTGGCCAAAAGCTGATAAACTATTGAAAGTAAAGTAAATTAAATTTGTAATTTTCAATCCAAAACAAAATTGGAAATAAAGATATTAAGAAAATATATATTTATAACATATCTTTTCTCTCTCTCACATGACGTTGTTGGATAGCAACTTATAGGGGTATTTAGCTTGGATCCATCCCTATTGGTCTGTATCATCTCGATATGCTTGTCCTGGCCCGAAAATAATTAGGACGGGATTTTGCGGGATGGGACAGGAAAAGAATTTCGGATGGGATGGGACATGTGATTACTATTGGGACGTCTCGTCCCATCCCAAATATTATATATACATTATTTTTTATTTTAAATATATTAATTATATTAATATAATTTATATTTATATTAATTATATCAATTATAATTTTAATATTTACAATTCTTATTTAAAACTAAAATTTTTTATATTGATAATTTTAATGACATTGAGTAAACATGACAATATCTTTATTTATAATATATTAATTATATTAATATAATTTATTTATATATCTATTTATTTAATAATTTTTATTTATAACGTATTTCTTGCTTTATTTTTAGAAAAATAATTAGCTTAGTACATCTTCACTAAAATAGAAGAACAATAATTTGATGTTGTGCTTGACTTACCTGTTATTGCTACTCTTATAGCCTAAAAATCACTTGTATTTGCTATTATAATGTGAAGTTGTGATTAATGCAATTCAATAATTGACTTTAAATTGTTGTGATTTATATACTTGTGTTGTTTTGATTTTAAACTTAATAAATTATATGATTTAAAATGTTAATAAACGTTATTATCTATATCTTTCTTCGATATTATCCGATTTATCAGAATGGCGGGACATCCTGATCCTGTCCCGGTCTCGTCCTAACTCCTAATGGGACGGGATGACTTTCAGAATGGGATAGAATACGAGACCAAAATTTAATTCTAATTTTTTTTTAAGATGAGATATAGGACAAGAGTGTCTTGATTTCATTTTGTGAAAACCCCTAGCAACTTAAGGCTGGAGGTGGATTTTGCCCTTTCCTGAATTAGTTGTGGGTGATGAGCGCGTTTTCTATCGCCACTGTGTACTCTAGACTTGGCCGGCGGCAGATCCTGCGAAAAGTTTCTTTCTTGCCTTTTTTTTTTTTTTTTAACGGTTGCGAAAAGCTTCTATATTTCTCCTTCCTTTCCTTCCTTCCTTTTGCCCTCCCACGAGAATGAGAGAGTTGGAAACATGCATGGGATGGGACACTAATCAATAGAGTAATCATCATTATGCAATGAAAATGAGGAAGCTGATTAGACCTATGTTATGCAATGAAATAAGCCCCATATGCTTCACTTGAAGAATAAATTATACTCCCTCTATTTTAAATTAAAATATATTTTTAAGTAAAATCTCACATATTAACAAAATTTATTAAATATATTTTATAACTTTATTTTTTTACTTTAAAAATATAAACTTTTAAAAATATTTTTCATTTAATATTTTATTAATAAAAGAATATTAAAAAAAGAAATTATGTGGGAAGAGTTGAAAAGTATTATTAATAAAATTTTATTTTTATTAAAATATCATATATTTTAAGATGTTAAATTTTTTTAAAAAATATTTTATAATTTAAGACTGATTACTATCCTAAAAAATATATATGGCAGAAAAGAGACAGGCGCAAGCCAACAAGTGCCTCAGAAAAATGAATTATTATAAATGCCGCTAACCTCTCCGTTAATCGTTGCCATCTTCTCTTTAGTTTGAATTTCATACTTCCTATCAGCTTTAATTAAAAAAAAATCATCATTTTAATGACTTCTAACACAAGATCAAAATCAAACACGTTAAAAGCAACATTTTCGGAACTTATTTTTGGAACCCCATCGGACAAAAGAATTGGTTCCTTCATTTATAATTAAGGCCGAATTCCATTACAATTTCTAAAATGTTATGTTCTTTGTCAAAAGTATAATAATTGAACAATAAAAATCCGTGAATTGAGGGCACTAGAATTTTTTAATTAATTATTTCATGACATATATTGATGACTAGATCAAAGCATTGAAAATATGTCATTCACCATTATATGTTTATCATACAATACTTGTCCACGGTTGACCTGAATACTGATATCGAATATATATACATGTGTGTGTGTGTGTGTATATATATAATTAATGGTTGCCATGCAGCTTCTTCACAAATGACAACTTTTTTTTATCTTACGCATCCGGTATCTTAGACAGATCATCTTTCAGGTACAACAATGATTCAGGCTAGTCTAGATTCGCCCATGGTCAAGCACCTAAGAGGGTGCGAGAGCTGGCGATCACAAATGACAACTTTGGTTCCTTCTCAGAGCTCTCAATTTGTGTTGTGCCTTTTGAGATTTGGTCTGACCCTTCCTCGAGTCGTTATTCTTCAGTTCCTCCAGACACTGCATCAGGACACCAAATGATCATTTGTTAATTTACGCTCATCAAATAAAACATTAGTTTACTTTTCTTCTCCATTTTAATCACCATCCATTCATTAATTACCTGCCGCTTTCTTCTCCTCTCGAGCTCAACCTGAAGAAGAAGACGTAAATAAAACCAGTCGTCGCTTTCAGTCACCGGAAACAAAAAAGAAAAATTGAAATGAATATTTAAAATTACCAGAGCAAGTTTGAGCTGGGCATTCTCATTCCTTAGCTGGTTCAGTTCTGCTTCCAACTCGACGGTGTATGCCTGCAAAAACAAAATTATCAACATGCCATCAAAATATTTCTTCAACCAATGTATTGATTCAGAAATGAAGGACACCTGTTTTCTGGCTCTGGACCTTGCTGCTGATTCTCTGTTCTTAATCATCCTTCTCTGTCTCCTCTCCACTAACTTCTCCACTGGTCCCTCCATGATCCTCTTTCTTCCTCTCACCATCCCCATCTCCATCCCGTACTGTCCTCCGCCGGCGTTCTCCCTCGCCGCCATCCCATCCGATGATGACACAGGGCTCACCGGCGCCACACCGTACCCACCGCCACCGTAGCAGACCCCAGGAGGAGGATACCCGGAAGCATCCCTCTTGCCATTTCCGGCGTATCCGATGAAAGTCGGTCCCGTTGCGGGTTTGTTATGAGGGTACAGCCCGTACTGAGCGGGCATAGGATTTGGTTCCCGAACTACCCCTGCTTTAATCAAGAAATCCTCCAGAGTCATCTCCCCGTAAGTGGGCTGGCGTGGGGCAGACTCGGAATTCCGAACGTTGTTGTTAGCATCACCATTGTTGTAGGTGGTCTGGTTGTGTATCTCAGACCAGACTTGGTCGACTGTTTTTCTAGAGAGTGGAGTTGGAATGGTGAGAGAGCCCTGGCGAGACAGGCTTGGCTGCTTTCTTGCGCCTTTGTCATCGGAATTGCTGTTGTTGATGGTTTGGTTTTCTTCCACGTTCCAGATGCTACTGAGAAACTCGTCCATGTTCATGGACCCGAAATTCTTGCCTTCTTCGCATAGCCTGTGCTGGAACTCGTCAAGTGTGAGAGCATATATTGAAGACTGTCTTCCAAGAGATGACATTGCTTGGTTTTTTAGTGTTTGGTCTGACTTTAATGACGAGTCCACTTCCCCCTCTGCCACCACCATTTCTTTCTTCTTGCTTGGTCCTGCTCAACCAAGATGGAACAAGTTTAACACCTAGGCTATGCTTACTTCTGTTTCATTTCTTTTAACAGCTATATAGCCTCTCTTAGATTATTTTTTTGAGAATGATACCATCTGCTACGGTTGATGACAAGTTAAAGATATACAGTTGATCTCTTTAATTAATTCCTGATTTAGTCACATGGATCCCCCGTTTGATCCCTGGTTATAAGTATTCTATAGCTTATTTGCTTAATTCGACACCATTGCAAGGAAATGATTGTTCTTTCTGTGGACGACCTAAGAGAAGAAATATAAATATATACGAGTAAGGTGCATTTCTCTAATAAGGTGAAAGAAATTTGATTGATCTGAAATATCAAAAAGCAGCCAAGAAAAAGGATTCTTTATCCAACTCCCAAATTCGCCCCTAAGTTCCCTCACACAACCACCCTAAAATTCTAATTCTCATTCAGATTTAAAAAGAAAGAAGCCGAAATATTTCGAAAGCCTATGCTGTTTACGTCAAGCACCAAGCCCAAAAACAAAACCTTGTGGCCACCCGCAAAAAACATCCCAAGATATGGGATCAAATGCCAACACTAAAAACCTAAGCAGCAGAGAAAAGGATGTATACCTGGGAACTCAAGTTCTGCTCAAATGCTAAATTGCTAAAACGTTAATCTCGATCAAACTAAGCCCTTGTACAAGTTTTTAAGATAAGGTCGACCTACAAGCTGCAGCATCGAAAACGAGACCAAGAGGCAAGAGAAGAGGAGAAGAAAAAGGAAGGTTGTGTCCCAGTTTAAACTGAGAATTCACACATACTATTCAGCGCATGTTGGAACAAATACACACAAATGGAAGAGTTGGCTAATCTGCTAAGCTCTGCAGATTTGTGACCACCTTCCTCTGTCATTCGCTCACAATTTAACAAATATTTATTTTTTAAAAATGCCAAAATGCCGAAACACAGACTAGAGAGCGTCTTCTGTACAAAGCAAAATTCAAACGCCAGCATGGCGAGCTTGCCACGTATAGGACAGGTGTCCCCGTCGCAACATCGTTTGGGGTATCCTCTGTTTCGTGCTCAACACGTACTCCTTTACTTTCTCCGTCTTCAAGCCGAAACGCCCGCCTCCATCTTCGAGACGGGATCGCCTAGTATTGGGCTTTGTTCATAAGCTCACAACGTATACTTTGTGACTCGAAATTCATCAACATTTCAACATCAAAAAGAAAAAAGAAATTGGTTACTGTAATCCCTTTGAGGCAGAAGAATGGGCTGTGCTCGAATCACTCAGACTAACTTGGAAAAAAGGTTTCAGAAAATTATCCTGAATCAGATTCTAAACTTCTAGTGGATCTGATACATGAAACAACAAGGGATATGAACAAGTGCTGCTTGGCTTTTGTTGAAACCAACAGATTGCTCCAACTTAATTGGAATGTTCACATTAGGAAAATTCCATGCGACTAGAACAGTGTAGCTGATATGTTTGCAAAAAAGGGACTTTAATCTACTAGCTGTTTTGATTCAACTCCCTTTTCCTGTAGGAATTTAGTGCACAATGAGCGTTTTGGATCTCAATCCCCTCTGCCTTTTTAATTATGTATTTAGGGCCTAGCCTTTCTCTGATATAAAAAGAAAAAAGAAATTCATCAACACGTTCCTTTGAAGTGTTTTCACGCCTTTTTAATGCAGTTGAGCAAAGAATGGAATGCTTGGTCACACATGAGTTAGGATATTGTAACATGCTTACTTTCCAGGCAGTTCATATTGTGTCACATTCTAAATTCATAATTAAGAGTGAAAAAAAAATTACAAGTTTAAAGTGAAAAAATTGATCAATTTTGTGAGACAACCTGATTCAAAAGTGATTCCGAGGTGTGGATGTCTAAGAATGCCTCTAAATATATGCGGGGTAAGGACGTAAAAATTTAAGATAAACAAATGCTGCCCGAACATCTCTCAAAACAGGAACAATTAATGATACAGATCAAATTGATCAGAAAGTTCAAAATCTCCATAATAGAGACAGCAAATACATAGGGAGCTGATCCAATATCGTCTCGCGGAGTTACAGCCTAATTCCCCTGTAGCAGTGACTGAATGATAGTGTCGCTCATCCCGTCAGCATGGGGGAACATATGACCAGCACCTGGAAGCTCGTGATAGTGAATCCACGGAAGGTTTTGTGCAATGTAACGTTGCAGAGTAACAGGCACCAGCAAATCTTCATCTCCTTGCCATAGATGGACAGAACCCTTACCAGTCTGGAATGGGTTTTCCAGATCCAGAGGACTAAATTCCCATGTCCCAAATCCAATATTCAGGTCGCGATGTAGGGATTCATATTCTCCCTGCTGCCTCACTTGCGCCTGTGCGAAGCAACATTGTAAGAAGCATTATGAATCTCTCTTGAGGAGAGGTTGGGGTTGATGTCAATATTTCTAGAGCAAAGAAATCTTGCTAGATGTCACAAAATAAAACATTTAAGTTGAAGCTTAAACAACCAAAAGAAAAATCTACGCAAAAAACAAATATAATGAGGTTAGATCAGAAAGTCAGTTCCAATTAATTAAACAAATCCTGAACGAACAAAGTCTCACTAATAGTTTCTTTCCGACAGAATGACACTCCAAAAGATGGTACCCTCCAAAAGCAAAGCTATTGAAGTTAAAACTGCAATTACATGTCAGATGGTAAAACCAATAAATAGGCATAATCAAGCATTATCATTCGCACATAATTGCCAGGTCATCTTGCTTTAAAATTCCAACATATTACATAGAGGTCAACTTAAATTTGGAAACACAACTATCAAGGCAAAGGATTCATGAAATTTATCAATAGTAGGAAATCTATAGAAGGGAAGGGAAGGGAAAATTAATATAATACAAGACAATAATATTACGTAAACAGATTCACATGCATGCTATGCCAAATCCTCCACAGCACTTCTCCAGTTTAATTAGTGAACACAACCAGTGAGAATTGTTCCCAGTTAACCTCATGCAGCACTCAATAGTTGGAGAAAGGGATTTTCAATGGCTAAACATCATAGCGTGTATTTTACACTGACTTTGTAGAGTTGGACCAGTTGGTACCCGTTGTGATATTTAGCAAAACAGTTGCCCACAAATTTCAAGAGTTGCCTCAATCTATACAACATCCATTATGAGCTACGACTCACTGGTCTGTAACCTCCTTTTATTCAATAGCATTCCCAACAAAGCCACAGTTATGGTAACCATTTAAGATTGGATACGTACCATATAACTCATTCTATGTTGCATCTTAGGCATAAGTTCTTTGTCTTGACGGGAAAGAACATCTTGACTATGAGCAATTACACTACTTGATGGAAACCATGTTTGGGTGTTCCACCAATAAGTTAGCCAAGGGATGTAGTGAGAAACACGTTGTGTCCATTGGTCTTGTGGTTTTTGTTGGTAATAGGCTTCCTTAGTCAAGTTTGCAGGGAGACCAGACCACCAGTAGTTGACAACTGGGGCAATGAGCACCGCACCTGCCAGCCTGTCAACATTTGCAAAAAAATTATTAATGTATGAGGGGCTGACAACAAAATATCATACCAATAGCATATACAGGCAAGCATGTAGATGCAAACATGACAGAAAAAAATGCTAAATGGAAATAGTCACATTTATTTAGGACCTTTAATGCCATCACAATAACATAAAATTAGATTTAAACATACCTATGAGGTATGTACTTAAGGCAGCTCCAAATAACCTGTCCTCCCATTGAAAAACCAATTACATAAAATTTGGACCCTAATCCCAACTGATCAGCTAACTCTTCTATATCTAAGGCTAGGCTCTTCCAAGTTCGATTTGGATCAGGATCACTTTCTCCATAACCAGGTCTGTCGAAAGATACAATATAGACCCCCACTTCTTCAGTAATTTTCTGGGAAAAACCAACATTGACAAAATATTAGAGTGCCATAAAAACATAGTGCTACAAAAACAACACACTCAAATTGTAAAATAAATAATTACCGGTGATAACCTTTCAGCAATAACAGCATCATGCCTGCATGAGTCAAAACCATGGACATAGATAATTTTATAATTGGCTGCATCTTTTGGGGTACCATACTCACGGTAAGCCAAATGCCTTCCATCTCTAAGTTTGATTCTGGGTGATGTCACAGGTGGTCCATTAGAAGAGCCACATGTTTTGGGAGGAGGAGGCTGAATAGCCTGAAATGCCCATGCTAGAAATCCAATAAACGACACTGCAAGAGCTGCCTTAAGCATTCCTGAGATATCGTAGTGTTAGAATTTAGAGCTGGAAAATAGCAATTCAAAAGAAAAAATGCCACGTGTCTCATAAGTTCCAAGTTTCTATCAAATAAAGCTTAGGATATGCTATACAGCCACTGAAAAAGTGTGAGATGATTCAGAGACAATAAATGATCCCAAAGGGGATACAACGGAATTGGGCAATAGCCACGTCCAGAACATTTCTAACCTTCCTAGTTTCTTGATGTAAAATGGAAGACAGTTCAACTTATGAAATTAAAAACACCAATCTATCCCAGTGCTTACAAGTACAGGACCTTTGACTGGTTACTGCTAATAAGGGAAGACCAGGGAAGTTCTTGTTCATGGTTTTCTTGTCCAAAATTCCATTACTGACTCTAATCAGCAACGGTTTAAAAAAAGGGAAAACACGCACATAACGTGACACGAAGGCTTCCTTGTGGTGGGATTCACATAAAAACTTATTTAACCAACAGCATCTGGAGCAGAAAACATCAATTTCCAATATGAGCGGGATAAATTCTTCAGGCTTTCCAGCAAGGCAGCCATAAAGAAGCCTTAGTCAAGTGAAGTTCTTATGTCTCTAAGATTCAAATTTACGGCCCGAGTTTAGAAATTGAATCATTGTATATGCTTATTCTACAACCAGAACAACTAAAATAAAACCTAGAGCGTTGATACAGATAATCACAGAAATCACAGTGAAGTGTTTCGATTCAAACGAGGCGAATCGAGAACTTGAGCTAGAAAGATCAAATGAAAAGAAGAGAGAGAATGGGCACCTGGAGGAAGCAGAGATGAGGTGCTTTTGTTGAGTCTTCTGGTGTGAGCCCTGGCTGAAGCCGCAGATATTTTTCGGCTCACTCCGGCAGCCATTTTTTGCCACTGCTATACCGGCCGAGGGGATCGCCAAAGTTTCGCAGATTTATCCGAAGATATGAACACAGAAAACGGAGAGATCAGACTGTGACCCGTCTGGAGCGGGATGCGTTGGCCACACTGGCAAGGAACGAGAAGCCCTTTGTGATCAATTCGTGGTTGAGGTCAACAATCACTGATTTAAAATTGTCTAGGATCTCCACTTCATACATCACCAAAGCGTTCTCTCGCCGCACTTGCAATTGGATTTGGATATCCCAACATGAGATTTTATTATTTCTTTTTTATCAATAAAATTTTAGAGGAGTTTGGCGTCACCAAAACAAACATATGTTTCCAAGTTTTACAAAATTAGTTATAAATCGTTTTTTCAGTAAGATTTGATTACACAGTCTTATAAATTATATCTCAACTTATTTATCAATTGAATCAATCTGGATTATTTACTAACGTGAGATTTTAATCTGAACATTTTATTTTTATGTAAAAGATATTATAAATTCACGATAGCGTTATTGCACAAACTTTTTATATCACCATATTTTATATTTATGTTAAACAAGAACTTTGGACCATATAACATCGGTAAGCTTTTGCGTGTTTTCTCTGAGGTATCGGCAGCACCAGAGCTTTTGTGTGTTTTATTGCATAAACTGATGTTAAATCTCAAACAACCATAATTTGCAATACCATTACTATTTAATCAATAATTGGCTGTTGTTATCATTTTGTAAAGTCATCAAATAAATGTTTGTTCAGTTATAATCATAATATAGTTATTAACATCCCAGTCTTGTCGACAGCCCATCGCCATCATCAATATAAATATAACCCTACATCTGCCTTTTTTCTGTTTTGGCCTCAACTCTTTTCTTAATTTTCTATTTTCATTTATTTTTTCGTATCTGACAAGAACTGCATTTAATTAATTTTTTTGAATTTGACTGATGTTTTTTCGCAACTTGATTTTACAAATCAATTAAATACACCCAATCACCAACTCATTAATGAAGTGGGTTATTCCATTTTTGTCAATGGTAGTTCCATCAGCCTATTGTTTTGTTAGACTTAATTTGCTTTTTCCTCCATTGTTTACAGGTCTTTGCTCACACTTTTCATAAAAATAAATAAATAACATTTTTCTTATCAACTAGGACAACGACTAGCCAGAGTCTAATGAAAAAATTACAAAAGCCCAAGCAGAAACTAAAAGCAGGTTAATGAATTAGGACGCCTGACGTGATGGCTGTTCAACTTTCCCTCTTACTCCAGCATTCGGAAGGCGCCCATAACTAGTCAGTGGAGTTATATACAGCAAAGAATATGAATTTCCATGAATAACATAGAAGAAGCGGCCACAACTTAGGAAGCGGACACTTGTATGTCAATCAATTAATGAAAGATGACACCATCACTCAGAGGCTTTCAGCTCTTAGTTTAGCAGCAAATGTTTCAAGAGGTCTGTTATAAATATTATCGGCTTGAAGATCCCTTGCTTCCAAGTCATATGCGTGAGTTATTCTTGATAATCTGTTATAATCTCTCCAGCCCACGTGTCGCGCTTGGTTCATAGCAGTGGTTTCTGAAGGTTTGTCATAAATATCATCAAAATGAAGATTCAATTCCCCTGACTCTGAGTCAAATGTGTGTGCTGTTTCTGATAATCTCTGACAATCTCTCCGGTCCAAGTGTTGCTGTTCATCATCTGAGCCTCCAGATGGCTCATCGTGATAGTTACATGTTTGGTGATTGAAATCTGGAGGCTCAAGAAAGCTTGTCTGAACTTGTCCACCTTGTGGGCGACTCCTAGCCCACCAACAACTCCTGATGGATTCTGGCACATCATTGCAATTTCGACCTGCACATGGAATCTCCCGGAAGATGGGAGCTGCTGTGGATGCCGTAAAGTGAGACGAAGCTCGATCCTTGCAATATTCTCCCGACTCTTCTGCAAAACCAGGTTCATTCTGTGTTAAATTGGAGGACATCCAATGATCTCCAGAATAACGCTGAGTATTCTCAAATGGTTCCATTGGAACATCCCTCAAAGTCATATGACGAGTTCGAGAAGTGTAGTACCAATCAAGAAGATAGGGATTATTGTTTCGATTGGCATCTCTCGGCCATAAGAGATCCAAGTGATTGCAAATTCCACAGGTACTGTGCAGTATGTCCCTAAATCCATTGCTCCACATTCTAGGTGGGGGAAATGTGCATCTCCCTGCATGTCCCTGTAAATTTTTCTCTTTCAAGGTTTTGAGATTAAGCAAAAACTGCTTACCCAGAGTATTTGGTTCCCTTGACATGTAGCTGCTCTGAAAGCTGTAACCATAACAGGAGTTACCAATATTAGAAATTGGAGCAGTAGCAGAAAAATTATTAACATCTAGTTTTTGTTACTAAAATAAATAAATAAATAAATAACATCTTGTTTTCTTCACATGCCTTTCAACATATTTTTCAACATAGCAAAGTAACTAATGAGTTATTTGAAGATGCTTATTTCTTCCATCAAAACCAAACAATAAGTGCAAGAACAAAAAAACTTTCATTTAGATTGAGCCAATTATGAATAGATTTCACGAAGTTTTGCTTTTCCAGATAATATGTAAATTCATAATTTTTCAAGTAGTCTGCAAGACAAGTAGTTGGAATAGACAAATGAGGGTTTCCATAAATTATTGGAACTGTGTATAATGATAAAAATGAAAATAATTATCCAAGTCAGAGAATAGATCGATGGGAACAGACAAAAAATTCACCATCCTGGATAGAGATTGGAGGAATTCAACTAAAAGGAATTTTCCTCTCTTCCCTACAAGCACAAGCATTGCATGGACCTCGACAAAACAGCATTGCATATACCCATCCCATTGCAATTGTCATCACAGTTTGAAAGATGCAAACTAGGAAAGAAATCCAAATGAAAACACATTTCCTAATGTCTATCAAAAGTTCAACCTAAAGAAACACGAAACATGACTTCAATCAAAGTAGTCTTGCACATAAAAAATAACTGCCTAAGACAATACCTCAAAAATGATTTCTCCATCTTTCCCTGGGAACTCCTTCAGATGCGAGGTACATTGCACGGGGAACCATAATTGCTGTTTCCACGAGCTTGAAAATCAAAGACACTAAAACTGTGACAATATTGAGGATACAATAAAAAATTATTAATATCATACATCATTTGCTCAACCAAAAAAAATTAAAACATTTTAAGAAGCCCCTAGGAATGGCCATTGAGAAATGGGATGAAAATTGAAGAAAGGAAAAAATTGTTACGTCCATACTAACCTACAAACATGACCAACACCTTCAACATCCACTGTGAAATCGGCAATGAATTGCAAAATATCATCAACCCGCTACATGAACAAAGTTAGAACATTATAATATATGATGCATGAACAAAGTTTAAGTCTAAATAAAGCAATGACCTTTGGGACAACTAGCAAAAGTAAATACGGAGTGAGGAAAATCGATGCCATCTCCTCAAGTAACAACATCATAGTATACTGCACCAAACAAATATTGTGACATGAAACAAAATAGTATTGATTCATTGAAAATGCTATCAGATAGACAACAAATAACTCATAACAGCATATCAAAATTAGTACTAGTGAATTGAACCAATAATCGAAACAAATACCTGAAATAGGGTTCTAAACTCAATACGGACTATTTCAGTACATTCTTTACCATGCCATCTCTTTGGCATATAATGTGTATGATGCACCACCATAGAAATTACTCCTTCTGGATCTAAGACCAGAAGCTCAATTGTCACAGCAGCCCGGCTAATGGCTGTTATTGCTCCAAAAACAGCAGTATACCATAACAACTTTTGACTATATATCTACAATTTTAAGATAATTATTGTGATATGCGTAGGTCCAACATCTTTTAGGCAAAATCAATTAAAATCCAATACCTGTGCCTCAAGCAAAGGTTCGTAAACAAAAGCAAAGACGATCAAAATTGCAGTAAGTCCACCAAATATAAAAGATATAAGCTTTGCATAGGTACATAAAATAGGTGAACGAAATAGTTTGAGATAATCAGAAGCATGTACTGAACTGCTATCAATCTGATGCTTAAAGAAATGGTCCACCTACAACAGAGGCCATAAGTCAGCTTAATCACAAAAGCAAAAAAAAAAATACAAGTTTTACCATGCTAATAATGACAACTACATATGCCATGCTCAAACTATTAACACCTTTCCAAATGTAAAATATAGGAGAAAATATGAGCAAGAAATCATTAGAGCGCAAAATCTAATCCAAATAACTCATTAAATCATCATACTCTATAAATGTGGTTGCCAATAACCTTCAAATAAGATAGCTTGCATTGAACAAGTATGGTGATTATAATGCAGAAAATCAAAAACAAGGACTTTATCCTATTCATTATGATTCAATAGAGAATTAGTTAATAATTTATAAAATTTCCTAGGACAAAGTAGGCTAGAGATTGGATTAATATTGTCTTTTCTCAATTTCTCTGATAAGTATTAGTTGTAAAATATTCTCCACAAGTTATAATTTCCATACATTTCTTTAATAGTGTATATGCTCTTCTAGATGGAAATCCTCTATTGTCCCCTAGAGGCCAGAGCAAATCTGGACTATTCACGTCTAAACAGCCATTCAAGTTTCTAATTTTTATTTTTTTAAATCTCAATCATATATTTATTATTTTGAAAGAAGCTAAACCTAGGAAGAAGACAATCTTCCAACTTCCATTAGACAAATGTAGGAAAATTTTAAGATTGTCTTCATCCAGCGTTTGTTTGCTTTAAAATTTAAAAAAAGAAAAAGAAAATCAAAATGATTAAAAAAAATGAATGGATGGAACAAAAGAGAAGAACTGAAGTCTCTATTAATAAAAGAACAAAAAGAAAGCAACACCTCATTGAATTCCCTGAAGATTCACCTTGACAGATTTGACCATCTTCGAGCTATTGCTAAGCTTGGATGCTTATAAAATTGTTTAGTATAACTCACAAAGAGATATAGCATAAAGATGATAAGACATGGAGAAAGTACAAGCATTGCAAGCCCAACCACCATAAGCCTTTTCTTTAATGCCTGTGGATCGGACACAAAATCCCTTTTAATACAAAAGTTTCTGCAGATAAAGCATGTCATACTCATGTTATATGTGTTGGATACAAAATCACGTGTAACATAAAAGAGCACAGCATAATGAACGCCAACAAATTACTTAATCAAA